AGATCAATTTACATATTATTCTCAAATATAGTGTAATTTAAAAAGCCAAATAAACTATGTCTAAGATCACTAGGAAAAATCAGCTGTGTGTTGTCTGCTAGAAACTGGCATACAAGTCATTCTCCTTGGGACAAGGGGTCTAGCTCTGCACCAGAGTCCCCTGGTCCCTGTACTTTACTTTTCTTGCTGACCAAAAAGCACTAACCAATGGTTACTCCCTGATAGTCATCACAATAGCCTAACTTCAACCTAAACCATTAATGTGAAAAATTAAAAGTTCAATAACTGCTAGATTATTTTCAGATAGGATAACATGTGCAACCCCAACTGAAAATGTTTTGATTTATTTTAAAAGATACTCAAAACTCACTGCATTTGGAAAAGTTATAGGTAATCTATCCCATCTGCTCTCCCTCTAGAGATGAGGGTCAGCTGCCCTAGGGATATAAAAGGTGAGCTTTTCATCTAACTTACACCTAACAACCTTTAGTGCAGCCTAATGTTTCCCAAAGTTCTTCTCAAAATCTGAATATTAGCAGAAAACTGTTGAAATCCAAGGAAAGTGTCTCAGTTTAGCTAACAGTATTGTGTTGGTATCAATTTCCTGCTTTGACAAGTATGCCACTGTTGTGTACTAAGTTAACCTTAAGAAAAGTGAGTGATGGATCCCTCCAGAGAACTCTGCTATCACTGCAACTTTTCTATCCATCTAAACTATTTTGAAATTAAGTTTCCTTTCTTAAAAAAAACCAGAGATCACAATGAAATCCCCTATCCAACTATAACAAATAAAAACCATTTTAAAAAACAGAAAATCAGTACAAATAGTGACAACTGTAAGCTTTATTGTTTTATTCTGAACATTCACAAAGACATTTATAAACGTGTCAGTTAAGATCCTGTTGTTTCCCTTCACAGTCTTATCTCTGTCCCTAGGGGGTGGGGGAAAAATTCTCTTGGTTTTCTACAACTCTAGAGACCACCGTCTCTTTTCTGAATTACTATAACAAATGTACAGGAATAAATTTGACTGAATTCCTTGTCTCAGTCCTCTCCCCTCAAGTCCATCCTCCACAAAACAAAATGCCTCTTTGTTAGAATCTTTCAACCATTATGTCCAGTCCCTACAGGTCCTAATTAAAGCATAAAAGGCTCATTTTTGCCTAAATTGTCAAATCCTTACCTACTCTGATGACACCCTCAGGATCTAACAGGAGACTATTAGCTGTTTCCTGAATATTTCATGAATGTATTCTCTTTTGTCAAAAGCTCTAATTTTCTACACACATATTCACCTACTAATCTTTTGTCAATATTTGGGAAGTACTTCATTCACAGCACTTTCAGACAAACCAGACATTCCACCATCTTTAGCACTCCCGTGTTTCACTTCCAAATTATTACTGAAACCAGTATGTTACACACTGCAATTATCTTCTCATGTCTATTTCTCCTGGACTGTAAACTGCTTAATGGCAAGGACTAAATTTTTCAAAAGTCAATATAGCACTCTACAGACTAAGAAATAATGTGAAGGCACTTTTTTAATGGTATAATAATATAATGATATAAATGGTGATTTACGGATATGTGAGATAAATTATGCTCAACTAAACTAGTATTGTATATTTCAAAGTTTGGACTATTTAATCTAAATAAAATTATTTTTGCTTATATGGATCTGATCTTCTACTGGCTTATCTTTAAGGACCATTTGTTAGTTTTTAACTTGATGTTTAAGAGTTCAAACTTGAGAAAAAAAAAGGGCTCAATTTTCTGAAAGCTTTTTTAAAAGTACTCTGGGCAAAGGAATACCTGGATTAAAATCATCCTTAGCTAAAAAGAAGCAATAGTGAAGCTCTAATAGGAATAAAGACTAGGTCTGTGATTTTTTTCCTTTTTTTTTTTTTTAAAGGCAGAGTATCGCTATGTGGCTCAGGTGGCCTTGAACTATGTAGAGTAGGATGGCCTTAAACTTGTGATTCTCCTGCTTCAGCCTCCTCAATGCTGGGATAATAGGGGTACACCACCATACCTGGTGGTCTGTGATAATTTATCTGCTATTTTAGAGAAACACAAACACAAGCCAGGTGTGATGGCTCAAGCCTATAACCCTAGCTACTTGGGAGACTAAGATCAGGAGGACTGCAGTTCAAGGCCAGCCTGGGGGTGGGGGAATAAAAAAGAAAAGTTCACAAGACCCCCATCTCAACCAGCAGATGAGCAAGATGGCATGTACTTGTCATCCCAGCTATGTGAGAGGCTGAGATCTGGAGGATCGCACTTCTAGGCCAGGTGGGCAAAAAAAGTTCATGAGAGCCCCATCATCTCAAGGGAAAAAGCTGGGTGTGGTGGTGTATACTTGTCATCCCAGCTATGGCAAGAAGTGTAAAACAGGAGAATCGTGGTCCAGGTGAGTCTGGGAGAAAAGCAAGACCCTACCTTAAAAATAACCAGAGCAAACAGGGCTGTAGACATGGCTCAAGCTGTAGAGCACCTGCCTAGCAAGCATGAAGCCCTGAGCTCTGAGCCCTGAGCTAGCACTTCCTCAAAAACCCCACAAACATGAAAATTCAGAGACAATATACATCAAACATATAGTATGTGACTATTTAAATTTTAAACCTCCAGATAAAAGTTTTGTCTTTCTACTTCTTATTACACACAATGCTGGTCATACTGAAGAGCACTCTGTTTCTCATCTGTAAAAAAGACTGGGTTGGGTGATAAAATCCCTCAGTCCTTTCCAGTCTAGCAGCACACAGCCTAGTCTTAGGATTCCACACTGAAATTCAGTAGGGAATAAGGAAAGACTCTCTACAGAAGAAAACAGCCAGAGGAAGGGGAGCTTAATGGCTATTCTGTATTATATTACCTTTTGTTTCCGTATTATTTTGATTAGCATTCCCAGCTATAGAATAAAATCATCTATTTACATCAGCATTTCCTCATCTTAAGACTATATAACACTAAAAGAACAAAGTTTTACTGAAAATGACCCTAATTTTTTAAAAATATGTGGTTTCTGGACAATTTTATTCTCTATATTTAGGTAAAATACAGTAGAACAATTTTAAAAACTCCACAACACTTATGGTAAACCCTCTCAAGTATCTTATTGGTAAAGTGGAAATAATATCTATGATAAAATGATATGGAAAGATGAAATGAAGCACAAGATGATGGTCCTTAAAACAGTAAGCAGTAGTAGCAGCACAGCAGGAGCAATAGTGGTAATAACAGTTATCATTCACCGAGCCTCTATCATGTTCTAAGCAAGGCTCTTCAAATTTCCCCATACTTACTCATTAAATCCTCAAAGCTATCCCATCTGTAGATATTCTCTTGCCCTGTTTTATAGTTGAGGAAATGAAGGCATGGAGTAGTAAATAACTTTCCATAAATCACACCATGAATAAGAGATGAAGCCAGGACTCTATCACATAAACTACTGATTTTCTGGCAAAGAGACCATGCTCATTTCACCACACCATATAAATGCATGGGGCTATCCTGGAATAAGAGGTTAGGCTTTGGATGTCCTATAATGCTGGAAGAATCAGACCATGATTGAGAACTTCTCTTCTATCAATGTCCCTGAAGAAATGCAAAAGCTCTCTTCAAAAGACTATACTGCCCCTGGGAAGAAAAACTTTGTAATGCCTCCCTCCACTTGAGGAGGATCATTTTGTTTTGACTAACAAAAGAAATTGTTTTAAAGTGGTAATTTTAACTGTATTAGTAGGAATCACTTATTTACACCAAAACTTGAATGATTTTGAGAGGTTGTTTCTTCGAGCTGATACAATATCTACCCTGTTGGATCTGCCTCCTCACAAACAAATGCAGAAACTGTGTTAGGTTGCTATTTGGACCACTCACCAGTATACTATTATTGAACTGGCTGTTTTAAGAACCCATTCAAAATGTGTAACAGTCAGTGACCTATTGCTATGTGAAGAGGGTTAGTGACTCCTTTAATATCTTTATTAAGCCCACTCCTCCTCCTTAATGACACTTGTTACAATCAAGAAAGAATGGGCTGGTTGACTTTTCACAAGATGGAAAGACAAGGAATCAGAATTCCCCAGTCTTTTCTATCTGCTGTGCCAAGGAAAAGAGGAAAAGTGTTTGGTAATACCTGGGGCATATGAAAATGGGAACCTGTATAAGTTATTCACTACATATAGAAGTGAGTGAAAAAACAAACAAAGCCAAGATTTCACTCTGAGGTGATCCCCTGTGGAACATGACCTGAGGAACAAAATCTCAGTTCTTCTAAGTTTACATTAGGACCTGGAAAAATACATTACTGAAATAACTACTGTTACTAGTCTTTTAGACTCTTTTAGACAAAATGAAGGAAAAGGACAAGGCAATACTCTGAGGCTAGAAGCACAAAACATACAAAAGTTTCTGATAAAAAACAGCAGGAGCAGGGCGCTGGTAGCTAATACCTGTAATCCTAGCTACTTGGGAGGCTGAGATTAGAAGGATCTTGGTTTAAGGCCAGCCAGGGCAAATAGTTCATGAGGCCACCATCTCCAAAATAACCAGAGCAAAATGGACTGGAAGTGTGCCTCAAACCTGTTTTGCAAGTTTGAAGCCCTCAGTTCAAACCCAGTCCCACAAAAACAAAAAAATTAAAAACAAACAAAAAAACATAGCAGGAAGAGATGCTCCTGACTGAATGAACCTAAGTTTAGAAGGGGCAACAGATGGCATGTTTAGAGCTTTAGTGACTATGAGTGTGAAGACTCAGCCTAAAAGTCAGTTTTTATTTGTCAGCCTCCTCACCACTTCAGCTCTCAAGTCAAAAGACTATAATATTCAGAGTTAACGTAATAGATCATAAGTAAAACCTCCATTCATTTGAAAATATCTTATCTTCAAAGCATGAAGAAAACTACAAATCATGGCATTAGAACTAACTTTATTTTGTTAAATAAATTAGGTCATGGAATCACTACTGCTTTTCAAAAGGAAAACAAACAATGTACCTGAGATAGCTTCCAAAATAAGCAACAATATTTGGGTGTTTACAGTCTTTCATCATAATGATTTCTTGCTGCACAACTGCAAAGTCTTCTCCTAGAATAAAAAACAAGCATGTTGAATAGCAGGTAAGACAGGTTTCAAAATGCTCATTTATCTCAAAACATAGTAAGACCAGGGCAGGGTGGGGGGGCAAACAATGTATACACATGAGTAACTGTAAAAGCAATAAAAAAATAAGATAATTACTTATAACATAATTAATTAGTTATAAATCAAATACCACTGATAAGTTAATGGTATTATTTTTAAGGACAATTTCAATCCTGACATGAGACAAAGTATAGCACCGTGATTAAAAGTATGAACCCTGGTCCCAGACTTTCTGGATTCAAATCCTAACTCCGTTCCTCACTAAACTGTGTGATGTTGGTAGATTAGCTGACCTCTTTGTGCGAATTTCCTACCTGGTAAAAGAATAATAACCTATCTCACAGGGCTGCAGAGATACATGCAAAATGCTTGGAAGAGTGCCTGGCACAGAGAAATCTCTATATTTAATGTAACTTTAGCATAAAGAAGTGACTTTTTTTTTTTCAAGTTTAGGGCAGAGCCCCTAGGATACCCAGTGGGTCGAATGTGTTTGCACAGGCTCTTTATAGTGCTGGAAGGCCTAGACTCTTGCAGCTCTGGGTTACTAGACGACCCACATATATAGGCCCATCTTGTATTAATGCCTTATTCCAACTGTATTAGAATGTAGAATAGCATTATATGTGAGCCTAGTCAGACTATCAGCAAATAATCTGCATCCTACTCCCTTCCTGTCTAAATTCTTCAAAGTAAAATCTGGCAATCCTACAGCAGTGTCATATGCTGTAGCTCCTGAAAGAACACTTGTCACAAAAGGAAACAGAACTGCCAAGAATGCAAATGTGGTGAACCAGAGACCAGCAGAGAGAGAACAAGAGTGCAACACTCAACCAAAGCAGCTTGTATTAGTAATTGAACTTTGATATTATAGTCTATGAACAGCCTGATAAAATGACACTAGTGGCAAAGTAAAAGACAGAAGGCTGTACCAAAGAGTGAGGTTCTTATGGTAGGCCCTGACAATTCTGGCCATGGCATTTTCCTACTGTAATTGTAAAGAGAATGAATTAGCCTAGCCAGGAACCATTTGAACCTAGTATCAAAACCTACCTTACGTTCCAGTTACAAAGAAAGAAACAATGGAGAAGATACGGTCAGTCAAGTTCTCAATTTCTGTAATGATGTGAGCACAAAATAAAAAAATCTCCAAAGAAAACATGGGACTTTCATGCTTTCAAAAATTCAGAAGGTGACTCAATTAGAATCCATTTCCCACTATTAAGAATTTCTGATTCTCAGTATATTAAGAAAGAATCCAAGTTAAAAGTAATAAAGTTATAACAGGACTATGGGACTAAGACCAATTTCTATGGACATACTAAATACTTTGAAAGTTCTGGACTTCTGTTTTTCAACCCACCCCAAAATTATACTTTCTGCAATCCAATGAAGGGGTTGTACACAATCAAGGCTGGTTTAGTCAAAGAGCAGCCATGGCTTTTAATGGTTGAAGGATAGGAGCTCTTTTTCTGGGTAAGCTAGAGAGTTATTAGTGGTCATCACATAACCTCATAGGGAGCCAACTATAGAGTAAAGCTGATCTATAAAAAGCATTGAGGAGAAATGGGTAAAAGAAGGACAGTTAATGACAAACCGAGCTACTTACTGCAATAGGCCTCACCTGCCTCTGTAATATTCAGATATACTGTGCATGACCAAAACCTCCCTCTATCATTTAAGCCACCTTCAGCAGAGGTTTCTCTTACTTATAAGCATCCTACGTACATGTCACAGCCCTTATTCTGCTATACCCATGTCTGAATGTCTATGTCCTCACTATAACAAAGTCCTCTAGGACAAGATTATGCCTTTCATCTTTGCATACTTAGCATTTAATAGGTAGCAGTTGCCTGAATGAATCTATAATATCATAAAATTACTCTCTGTAAAGACTATAGGGAATATCAGCTTGTAGTTTAGTTTTATCCAATTATTAGCATGTTTTATACAATTAATAGTCTGTTTGGTACTCCTTTGATTTCTATTAAAACCTATTATTGGCTTTAAGTCTCCAACAATTTTTCCTGTGAAATGCTGCTGATCCAAACTGCATCATTTTTCCTATAATAAGATGACTCTATGTGCTTATGAGAATAATTAAATTCCACATTTTAATGGGAAAAAATTCAAAGAAAATTTCCACTTACTGAATTTTTTAATGGTAATTGAAAAATATAAATTTAGGTAGAATAAAAGAAAGTAGAGTTTAACATGTTAGTAACTCAAAGAAGTTGAGCAGTTGATTTAAATAACTCATGAGAAATACATTCCAAAGATGAAAATTAACAAGCTCAAGGAAAAAATTCCTAACATGCCTAATTTGGGATATTGTACAGCAGAGTTTAACTAGGTAATCTGCACACCTTAAAGCAACTGAGGCCAATAGGAAAAGGGGACCAGGTACTAGAGAAAAGGTTAGATCAAAAAGAATTAACCTAGAAGGTAACACCCACGCACAGGAAATCAATGTGAGTCAATGCCCTGTATAGCTATCCTTATCTCAACCAGCAAAAACCCTTGTTCCTTCCTATTATTGCTTATACTCTCTCTACAACAAAATTAGAAATAAGGGCAAAATAGTTTCTGCTGGGTATTGGGGGGGGAGAGGGAGGGGGCGGAGTGGGTGGTAAGGGAGGGGGTGGGGGCAGCGGGGAGAAATGAACCAAGCCTTGTATGCACATATGAATAATAAAAGAAAAATGAAAAAAAAAAAAAACTAGGTAATCTGCAAAAACTCTTTCCAATTCTAAGAGTCTAGGATTTTTTTGATAAAAATTTTAGATGTTACAGTGGAGAATTCACCTCCAAGAAAATACAGCCATCAAAAACAAAACAAAAAAACAGAACTGGTAAAAACAGGCAAGCCTACAAGTAGAGCACATAATGAATGAACTAAGAATTAAACAGAAAAATACAAACTAATCCATATAAAGCTCTCAGAATATACATGGTACAAAGTAACTGTTCAATAAATGTTAGCTATTTATAATTAGCAAAAGGCTAAATAATGGTCCTCCAAAGTCTTGGCCCTAAAACCTGTGAATGCTACCTTACATGGCAAAGGGCCTTTGCAGGTATGATTAAACAAAGGATCATGAGACAAGGGGATTATCCTGAGTTTCTGTGTGGGCCCCACAGAATAAGCAATGTGACAATTAATGTAAGATACTACAAGGCAGCTTTGAACACTGCAGAAGACCCCCCAAAGTTAAGGAATGTAGCTCTAGAAAAATGGAAAAAGCAAGGAAACAGATTTTCCTTTTGAACCTCCAGAAGGAATATGGCCCTGCTAACTTCTTGATCTGAACCCAGTGAAACTCATTTCAGGCTTCTGAACTCCAGAACTTTGTTGCTTTAAAAGTTACCAAGTTTGTGGTAATTTGTTATATCAGCCATAAGAAATTAATTTATTATTATAACTAATATTATTATTGTGACAGAGCTGGGTAGTCATCCATCAATAATATGTGGTCTCTCTTCTACAGCTTGGAAGTTATTGGTAGGAGGCAGTCATCCAGTCAAAGACATTTCCCAGCCAGTAAGCACAAAGATGCCCCTCAAAGACTAGCTGCTGCCAAGAGAATGTGAGCAAAAGTCACATGTCCCTTTTTCAGTACTTCTTTCTCCATCAACAGGCTATATGACATTTTGAATCTTCAGATAATGCAGATAATATGGGTCCTTGAGTTACCAACAGAAAGAGTCATCCAACAATTTGAAAACCTGCATTGAACTGTTACATAAACTTGAGATGAAATTTTATTAAGTTAAGCCACTAGTTATGTTCTAGTTTAGTTTTTATAGCAAATAACATTATCGTAAAGTAATAAATTATTTTATTCAAAAGGTTGTCCAAAATGTAGTAGATGCTTCATAAATGTTTAAGTACTTAACAAAAGACTCTGTATCCTATGTAACTAACAGAATGGAAAAATGAGTAAGATACAGGTGTTTTTCTTTATTTAGGTGTATTAAGTCATATGTATAAAAGCAGGGGAGTCAGGGCTGTTATGGGGGAGGTGGGGAGAGAGTGCCCTGAAAGCTACACTCTAACAGCTTATTATAGTGCCTTGTAGGTACAAATTGACAATCACTGTATTTCTAATGCTTTATAAAATTCTTTACTTTTTCTTTATTCTTTTCTTTACAAAACAACATATATTTACATTTTTGTGATGGGGATTGAACCTAGGGCCTTGTACATGCTAGGCAAGTGCTCTACACGGAGCTATATTCCCAATCCTACAAAATATAATCTTAAATTGCATGGTTACCCAACTGAAGTTAAAATGACTCTCTTTTTTGGCATGCCTAATTATTTACACTGGAGTCAGTTGTATTTCATTTATAAGACCTACTCTTATCATTAGCATAAGCATTTTGAATTAATGAACTATCAAGGGAGTTCATTAATGAATTAATGAGTTATCAAGGAAATGGCTTTGTTTTAAAAAAAAAGCAAGTTCTCTTTGGCACTCTTGTTCTTTCTCACCCTGGGATGATACCCTGTACTGCCTCAGGACTCCACCAACAAGAAGGACCTCACTAGATGTGTCCCTCGACTTTGGACCTTCCAGTTTCTAGGACTGTGAACTGAATAAGCTTTCATTCTTTACAAATTAATTAGTCTGTGATACTCAAGTTATAGCAACAGAAACTGGACATGGAAAAACAGTAAGCCAAAACATAAGTTACTATAACAACTGTTCTTAAAACAAAGATGACAAAGCTGCTAAAATCAATTGGAAGCAGCACAGTCATTTCTAAAGGCTTGTACCTAAACCTAAGTCATTATATGAGGCAGTTGACATGTGTCTGCACACTGAATGGAAGCAGGGATTACATCAGGTTATCCATATTGGGAGTGAACTAACATAGCAATGACAGCATGTGCATATCCTCAGGGAGCCCAGTCTTGGTCTACTTCTATACCATGTATCCTA